GATCTGCATCATGAGCAGCTTCATTATCTGATTGTAATCATGACCTATCTCCTCTCTCCTTCCGATTAAAAAGATTGATCTGCATCATGAGCAACCAACACTCCTGAATTGTAACAAAAAAGTAGTAAAAACAAATATACTAACATGTAAGCACATATATCTTCAATTATCATGCAAATATTCATCTTTTTTTTTGTTCAAATCTGTGATTCATATCACAATTCACTTTTTTTTTTCCTTTCTTTTTCGGTTTAATTTGAGCTCTTCAACTATGGCTTTGGTATACTTGTAACCCTGGATAGATTACGCTATATAAATTCATTATACTTTGTGTTTGCTTTACAGTTTACTTCTTTCGCAATTCAGTTCTTTCTCTCTTTTGCTCTGGCCACCATTGTTTATATATTGTGATCTATTTGAACTTCAAAGGCCGAGTCTTTCGTCATCATCTCCTCTGTTTCTCCCTCTTTCTTTTTCTCTCCCTCGTCACATCCACGACCACAAAATCCTATCATGTGTGAAATTTTCTTCTTCGTATTCCTCTATATTATTGGGGTTTTTTTGTTTATCTTCTCCATGTAATTTTGATTGTAACCTTAACTTTCATACCTTAAATTATCAACGAAAACAAATCGTAGCATCAGACAGCTTCGTTAACAACTGGTGAGAAAAGTTGGAAAGCTGCCTGATGTATTGTTTCACATCGTTAACTCTATAAACCCCAAATCAGATTTTGTTGATATACTTTGTAACTGCAAGATTTAGCCTCAAACTCTTCCTTTAAGATACCTCATCAGATTTCAGATGTATAGATTCTAAAGGATCAAAACATCATATTTTATTTGTGTCAATAGATCTGCTGTACCTCTCTAATTGAGAGATCAACGTCGCTTCCACTGCCCATCTCATCAATATCTTTGATCAACGTTCCGTAAGCCCATACAACCATGTTCATCCCCCATCAAATTTTGATAAAAACAATGAAAGATTGTTTGCTAGTACCTATAAAACTTTAACCGTGTGATCAGCAGGTTGTCACGGACTCACAAATATCCAGAATCTGCATTCTCTACATAATTGTTAAGTTCCTTAATTCTTCATAGAAATTAACAATTACATATTTCATATAAAAAAAAGAGAATAAATAGATAATTTTTGGATGTGAGGTATGAGATTGATGAGAAAGAAACAAACATAGATAATAGGCAAAGGATCACAATCGAAATCATTATCATCATCTTCTTTCTCTTGCTCTTCTCCTCCTGGTGATCCAAGATTAGAACAAAAAGTTTGAAAAACAAAACATATTATCAGTTAACAATGAGGAATTATCTACCTAAAGGAAAACACAAAGAAATTATCAATCCGGTCATTTGCATATAATTGTATCAAACAATTATGAACTGTAAACCATCATTCGACATCTTCTTAATCTTGTTACCTTTTTTAAAAATAATCAACTGAAAATCACTTAAAAATTTTTTCTGGTGGTAAAAATCCCACTTAAATTTAAATTAAGTCTAACATAATCTTATGTAAAATCTATTTGGTGGATCCAAAGGTGTTAATGGGTAGGATGAGAGCCAATTTCTAAGAAAAATCAATGTTGCTCGATTGTAAAAAAGTTATAAAAAAAAACAAATACCATCAAACTTCAACGAAAACAATACACAAAGAAGACAACACAAACTAATCCAGATCAGAAGCATTCAAGAAACTTGTGGAAAACGTAACAAATCTTGTTTTATTTTTTTGGTGTAAACGTAACAAATCTTAATTAGTGTTGTTCCCGTCTTTTAAAAAACACAGACATGGTAGCAAATAGACATTAGACAGTGAATGTTCTGACCAGAAGAACTCGTTCAGGTCACCATAGTTTCTCCACATAGATTGATTTGCATTTTCATTCTTGTTCTTCTCAATTTCATGCAGGCATAAATTTTACAATCAATTACGCATTTTAATTCCATAAAAGCGTTGTCAAAACAAAAAAAAAAAATCCATAAAAGCATTGTATCAAATAGAAGATCACCTTTTCAATGACTCTGTATCATGGTAACTACACTCTCAAGGAATTTTTCGTTTCCCCACCATATGCTGGACCTTCTCCCTAGTTATCAGACTAACGTCACTGATGAGAATATTTTCAGATGGACTGATAAACTTTTGAAAAAGATGCAATAATAACATTCGAAGCTTTTCCCCATATGATCAGGTAGATACGCACTATGCATAGTGTTTTAAATCGAAGGGCTTCTTGTTCACACGGGGCAACCTGCAGGTGGATTGTGAGGTAAGACAGTTAGAAATAAACACGTCCCAAAGAGATAAAATAATACAGATTGTCCACAGATGAAAGATATTCTAAAAATACCTGATGTTTTCTTTTCTCCCAAGAAACTTGCACCAGTTTGTGCAGTTCTTACGAAAATTCTTCACCAATGCAGTTCTTAAAAACTTTCCCTGACTTTAAATACTGAAGAAACTTCACCGACTCCGACACTGGAGATTCCCACCGACACTGACGGTCGAGCATCATAGGCTTCTCTAACTTTCCCATTGCTTTTCCAACATATTCGGGAATAACAGATATCGTTAATCCCTCTGCCTTCAACTGAGTCACCTGACAAAAAAAAAATCATAATCAGAATATGCACACAAGAAAATCTAAGATCTAAATTTCAAACTTGAATTCTGACATCTTATTGGTATGATTGAAATCACAACACAAAATTTGGACTGTATTCCATTACTCAAAACAATCGGTCCCAAGATTTTATTTTACAAATCAAATTCAATCAAACTGGTAAAAAAAAGGAACGACAAAGATCCTTCGGAAGATGTCCAGTTACATCGTGATTGGATATCTGTGCTGTCCACCAAGCATGTTGCTTTACCAATCACTGGCTATCACAACAGCTTCTATTTCACCTTGCTTACAAGTAGTACAAAAAAGGACTTGCTCACCCTTCTACTTGGTTACAAGTAGTGATTCTCTAATAAGCACTGACTGCAGGAATAAAAGTATAGATATTCTGTCAGAGACAGTCTTAAATAGTGCACTAAAAGAAAAGAGATGCAACAAAATAACTAAGTGCCAAATGTTATGTACGTGTCTGGTCTATTTTCAGGGGGTCTCCTTCAAGAAGGCGAGCATCTGTAAGAAAGATATCAGAATATAACAACGTGCTCGCCTTCGGATAGATACGACTACATTCCATCCAAGCTAACAATCTGCTTTTATTCTTCGGATCAGACATGTTCACGTCATCAGAGAAGGAAATTTGCGGCAATGGAAGATGCACAGGCAAATAAAACACCTAAAGTTATTAAAGAACAAACTCATCAATTCAAAATAATGTACGACAGTCATACAATTAACTAAAACAGGAAAATAATAAACACCTAATAAGTGAATGTGGTATAGATATAGGTTTGATATGTATAGTTCGTAGACAGATTAGAGTTTTCGTTTTAGGTTTAGATAAGACGATTAGAAATACTTGAGCTTGGTAAGCTATTCTAGTACGAAAACTAAAAGCCACTACAAAGATGAAAACAAATCTGTTAAAAATTGATAAGCAACAACAAAGATGAAAACATATTAAAAAGTTCAGATCCATTAACAAATGAATAAGACGACAACCAAACCAAAACATGAACGAATTCTGATTGGATAACATGAACCATACCTAGACCAATATGGGACGATGAACACGAACAAATTATATCGCGCTGCCTGTAGTTAATTACCTACAAACAATCAAACAACAAAATAAATAAATGATCAGTTCCATTGATATCCAGAAAGTAATCACACATATAAACAATTAATCCAAAGAAAAAAGCAAGCAATATATAAACGCAAATCAAAACGCCGCAGAACACAAACAAATCAAAGAAAATATTGCATATGAGAAAGTTTAACCTAGGGTTTTTCTAAAACGATTGAAAGAATGAACGTATGAGACTTATGTATATAGGTGTTTAAGATTAGGGTTTAGGTCGGTAGTATTTCGTTTATGTCACGTAAAATATGGGCCGTGAATATTTGTATGGGCTTACGATATTGATTTGCTCGAGTTTGTTTAAAAATATTTGGTTAATATATTCATAAATTAATTATTCTCATTAAGGGGCAAACGGTAATTAACCACGCTGAAACTCAATGAGAGGCCTCCATTGCTTATTCTGAACCCGATTTTAATATATATGATATATGATCGCGATTATAAAAATATTTTTCTCACCCGTCCGTTCATATTAATCCAAAAAGAACCGTGATTATAAAACATAATTCTACTTGTCCGTTAATATTATTTGTATATTTTAAATATTTATTAAGTTTGAATATTTAAAATTTTATACTTATTTATAAAAATATATAATAATATATCATTTTCATCTTTTCCATTGAAAATATTATTTAAATTTGATTATTTGAATGAAATCTAAATTAATATTCAGTTTATTATTTGTAACGATATAATAATAACTTATTTTATAATTTTTGATAATTATTATAACCTATATTTAAAAAAACTAAAATAAATCTAAATTTAAATTTAAAATTTCGGATTTATATTAAAGTATAAATTAAAAATATATTATTTTATTAATATTACACTAAATTGATTTGTTTGGTAATATAGTTATCCAAAAATATAATAATTTTAAATGAAAGAAATCATGTTTGGACACAAAAATATTTTCCTTTAAAAGTATAGATTCTCTCTATCCCTACTCTATATCCCACTCTAAAATAGAGTAACTAGTATTATTATTCCAAATAGGTTTACTCCATTTTGTTGTTCATCACTCCATTTTAAAGTAAAAAATAGAAAAAATAGAATAAAATTGAAGTAAAACCTAATTTCATTTAATCTAATATAGACTAAAAAGAGGAAGTTATACATTAGAGAACTCTAACTAATGTTGACTACCTATTGATATTAAAAGACCCAAAAGATTCTTTTGTTGTATTATTTCTGGGTCGATTTGTTTTCCGCCCCAATGAAATGGGATATTACATTATTTTTCTTGTGTCTGACCAGAAGTCTTTCAATAGAGACTAGAATATCATTGGGAGTACACTTAAGCCAATTGGAGTTCTAGGCTTTCTTTGCCCAGTCTTGGAAGCGTTTGACTTTTGACCAACACGTCTAACGTATGAGTTTCATTCAATTAGAATATCGATTTTTTACCTAGTCAAAGAAGCTCTCTGTTATCATTGCTGCTCCTCCAGTAAATATTGATGGTACCCACGAAGCTGTTTCTGGATCTTTCCATTCATCGAAATGTGTACGAGATACCAGAAGGGCCCAGTTCGGAGTTGCACAATCTCATGAGTTATGTTGTGTTAAGCATACTTGGATCCGAATGAGGGACCCAACACATGGGATCGGACTCAATCACTTAGTAATGAGATGGTAGGACAGACTATTGGACAAAGGGCATGTGAAAAGCGAGCGAACCCCAAGGAACGCCTGAAAGCTTAGTGAGGAAAATTCTTGTGGTGTTATTTTTGCTTTTCATGGACACTTTGGTAAAGCAACTAGCTTGAGAGAGAAAGGGCTCCACAAAGAGAGATAAATCGCCTTCCGGCAATAGATTCCAATCTCCAGGTTTTATTTGTAAAGTTTCTATTCCTTGGTACTCGCTTGCATCCATGGCTGAATGGTTAAAGCACTCAACCTAAAAGGTAAGTTGTAACTTTACTTACTTCAGTCTCGGACTGGTTCCGAGTGGACTCGGGCAGCTGCTGCTTGGATATCAATCACTGATCCAATTTGAGTTTGTCTACAAGATCGAGCCTTACAGCTAGAAATGAACATGAAAGATGGCCATATGCTTTGACCCGCATTAAATGCTAGGCCAAGAACTTTTTATACTGGGCAAGTGAGCTCCTCTAATCTTTGGTATGTTTGATCCATTTAAAACAAATAATCCAAAGTTGATGCCTGGACCATTAGATAGGAATCCAAATATGAAGAGAGGATTAAATGGTGTATATTTTTTAGTTAATAGCTTATTAAGGTGCCTAGGACACAAGTAGCAACCAGAGGGAGTGGTAAGGGATTCAATTATCGTATTGCGAGTGTCACGTCTTGTGTTTATTCAAAACTTATTAGTATTGTTTTGAACATGTTGCCCTTTTTTTAGCATTGTACACGAGCTTTGCTGCGGCAAGGATGTCTGATAAATAAAAAAAGATAGATGAATGTGATATATTTTGTTACTTTTTTTAGCAAATAAGCAAAAGTATTTTGTCAACAAGTCAACGCGTAAGATATCCATTATGTGCGTACCTCCTAATAAACGGGTAGACTTGAACCTTCTTCCTACATAAAAAAGGCTGGTCCGTAAACAGAGCACACCACATAAAGATTCTAAATTCAGTAAAATTTTTATAAATTAATAATGTCAGAAATTTGATATTTTATTAATTTATAGAGTTATTAATTTATAAATTTCAAATAAAAAATATTTCTTATTAATTTAAAAATAATTTTTTATAATCTTTAAAACAATCTTTCTGAAATTAGAGATGAGTTTCAAAAAGTCTTTAAGTTAAAATAAATAGAAAACATCACTAAATTATATTTTAATAGATTATCTCATTTATATGTTTATATTAATTTATGTTTATGGTAATTATTAATTTATGATATTTATAAAACCATATATCTATGTATAATTTTTGTTAAAATTATTATCTTATTATTTTCTCGAATTATGTTATTTTTTTAATTGCAATTTATATTTTGAACCGATTTAACTCAGAACTATAAAAAATTATTAATTTATAGTGTTTTTAGTATTAGTTTATAAAGATTTTACTGTATGAGAAGTCTGGACCAACCATCACTACCATAGGTATATAGTGGTAAATCCTGCCATCTTAGACTCATTTCTAGCACACTGCTTTGGTATGGTTCTCGGCACATGTTGGGAACGTGAAGCTAGCTATTGGGTCTTTGTGGGCTTAGTTTGGCCCAACTACTACCATCTATACTACAGTACAGATTTTGAGTTCCTTCAATCAGACCTTCTATCACCCTCCGGCTAAGTCAGTTTTGTCAATACTAGTGCCATTCCATTTCCTTGAAACTATTTCCAATAAACACACACAAAAAGCGACAGAACTTTGTATAGAAAGAACACAATACGTCTGGTAATACAAACAAGATATAACAAAAGAATATAACAAGAAACCCGACGCCAATCGACTCACAAAACCACGTAAAAATACAAAGCAAGCCCTCGAAAAGATACTGACTATATTACCAAATTTACTTGGAAGTATCTAAAACTTTCATGGAGATGCACCACTGCTTCTGGAACGATACATAGTGGTAAAATCCAAACATAAACGCCGGTCCCTTTCGTCTCCCCAACCTCCCCAACCTTTGAAACCAGCTTTATAACCAGGTTGATGCTTAAACACCTGAACTCCCCATCCTTCCTTTATGTTCACAACTTTATCTGTTTCTTTAACCTCAATGTTTACAACCCCATTATCAATACAATCACCTTCCTCTCCTCTACCTTGATGCAACCCACATTTACCAAAGTGGACCGCACTGGTCCTAGGCCCTCTCAATGTGTAAACAGGTGAACCAAACGAAGGGAAAACCGTTGCCCACATCGTTATATCCCAATTGTAATCATCAAAGAAACAAAAGTCTCTTGCCTTCTGGTGTATATTCTCCCACACACTTCTATTAAACGAATACCCAATATTTCCCATTCTCTCTGCAACCAAACTATCAAGCCCTTCTCCTCTTGACTTCACATCAGACGGTGCTAGATTAGCAGCAAAGCAGTCGGGACATTTCGTAGGTTTCAGCCTCGTGAGAGTCTGTATATTCCGGTATGCATTAGGAAAAAGAAAGTGATCTTCTTCGATGAAAAGAATATGACCCTCGTGACCTTTAGTCTCCTCCAATCCATCCCAAACCGTGTTCATCATCCACCACCAATGATGCTTCAAAGACACAATCTTTGGAGACCTGTGGTTTCCATACTGATCCGGATTGCCTTCACAATGTTTCCTAGCCTCATCACCTTTGTTCTTACAATCACTCGGGGTCACCCCAGGGAAGCTATCTCGAAATATGTGAGGAGAATATGGCGAGAATATCTGCTTTACCTGGCAAAACTTGATACTCTCCACAATCTTGTTCATCTCTTCAAAGTAACCATCATGGCTAACAATCAACAAAGTCTCACTTATTCCTTTAACCTTGGACAAGCTTTCCACAGTTACACGAAAATACTGAGCCCGATTGTGCACATACAAGACGATAACCACACGGTCTTTGGCCAAATCCGGGTACAGATCAAGATTCCTCGGTGGGAAAAGGTTTTTTCTATGCAACCTAAACGACATTCTGTTACATCTAGCTACTCTTAGCAACGAAGCATTAAGCTTATATACCAAATCTTCGTCTAAATCATCCAAATCTCGGTCGGTGAAAGTCCTAGTTGTTCTGGGTACAGACACCAACATCAGAACTATAGAGACTGTAACTGCAAAGAGAATCCCTAAACGGCATAAAGCCGTATCTTTCAATTTATGCTTCTTCCAAGGATTTGCCATAGGCACAAACTACTAAAGCACCAAACCAAATAAATCCACACTACAGAAACCGAACTCTCTAAAGTTTCCAAATCTCCAGCACGAAGTAAATCTCTACTTGAGCAATCGAAACCGCTTAAACCCAAAAAAAAAAAAAACTCTTAACCTCTGCAAAAAAAAGGTGCTTCCTTTTAAGTCTTCAAATCCAGAGATGTTTACAAATTGCTGAAAAAATCAACAGCAAAGAGAAAGCCTCGAGCTTTGGTCTCCAGCTTCTTAAATCCACACTAAACAAACCCAACTCTTAAAATTTCCAAATCTCTAGCACGAAGTGAATCTCTACCCACTTGAGGAACCGACACCTTTTAAAACCCAGAAATTAAAACAAAAACTTTTAAACCTTGCAAAAAGGTGCTTGCTTTAGAAATTGCTCACAAAATCAAAGCAACAACAGCAAAGAGAAAGACTCGAGCTCTGACTTCGGATCGCAAATGCTATATCAGCAGATATATAAAAGCAGATTCTTTGAAGGAATTCACGAGATGGGTAATTGGTTAAAGAAGATATTTCATTCAGGAAAGGAAAAAGAAATTTTGGAGTCGTCGAAGAATCTTTTACGAAAAGTGCCCGAGTCTTCTTACGTGACTTTGGGTTTCGTATTTCCTTGTCACCTATCGAATGTTACTCATATTTACCGTTTTGCCATTCAATTCTGACTGCTATTTTATTCTTTTCTTCAGAATGCATTAAACATGAATTTCTTTTTCTCAAATAAGCATATGGAACACCAAATTAAATGATTTGCTTAAATTGCAATCAAAATTTGTGCCAATAGTTCGTTAGGATGTACCATTTTCCATCCATGGGCTAAAACAAAATTATTTGCTTCTCTTTAAAGATTATCATATGTCACTTCATTTACACAAAATTAAATATTTCTCTCTCTTTGTAGCTCCATATCAACCATCACTATGGATCATGAAGTTATGTCACAAATGGCCTAAGTACATATCTGACTAATGAATTTATTTTTCAACTATCATGAGCGCAGATTAAATCACGAAATACTGACTTTGCAAAATTAGGCTTCGAAAATGTCAACGTTAAACAATAAACGTAAGTGGCTAAAATTAATTCATGAGATGTCATATATAATTTTTTCGCTGGAATTCTTCATCAGCTATCTTGCTGGAACATGAAATCCTAACGGATTATAAAGATCTATTTTCTAATTTTTGAAATTTGAATGTCATATATGATATTTAATTTGATAGTATCTTGTTTAATTTGATAGTTTCTTCGTCAGTGAAAATTTCTTATTGGGACATTGAATTCACATTACAACACATCTGGAGAACCAAAGACCATTAATTAGGAGTTACAACCAATCAAATACAGTCCCATTTTGCACTACCATTTACACAAAGCTTGAGTGAAATTTGTTTTCCTTTCAAAATGGTAGCATAAAATATTGAAATAGCAAGATCATTAAACCAAGACTACTATAATTAAAAAAAAAAAACAATCGTAGAACATGCTCTAAATTGTTCCCATCTTGCATTTTAACTTTGACATCAACGAGAGCTCATTCACAAGCGCCTGCTCAAGCTATATGGTAGCTCAAGAACCCATGGATACTATGTTTGACCCATGTCTCTGGTTTCTCCCTTGATCTTTTATCCTCCTTAGAAACCAACCTTGTAGATATTTTCTAAACGTGTTAGCCTATGAGCAAGGGTAACAAATCTTCGCAAAGCTTCCAGATATACATGAATAGAAATCACTGAGACGTCTTACGTATGTCTTTACCTCATGTGATCATTCATATCCACAGGCAAATTCAATTAACTATGAGAGGTTGGAGAAGCCTGAACGGAAAGATAAGGGAGCTCAACAGCGATATTTCAAGATAAAACAACTTGCCTTCTAGTACAACTTACAAATGATCTCAATATAGATTGAAACTGAACACAAGTCAAAGAAGAGCCAAGTAAATCAGAATTAAGTTTTGTTGATTCTCGAAAAAGGTCATCACTGAAAGTTGTGGATTCTCTTAGCTTATGTCAACGTGTTGGATATAAGCATGGATATGGTCATTGGTCCTACACCACCAGGAACAGGCGTGATGGGTGATGCAACTTTGGAAGCCTCCTCATAAGTCATAACAAACGTCTCCAACCAACCAACCGATAGCCACGTTGAGCATTTGGATCCTGCAATTTCAATACGATGCAGACGTAAAAATATTGAGAAAATTATTGCAAATATAATAGAGAAATTTTTGAGATAAAAACTGAAAATACAATTAAAAAAAATAATGATGAAATGGAGGCGAGTTGAACTCTATCCTTGATCCCAAATATCTCCCGCATTGTGGCGGTGTATGAGATAACAGATTTCAGAATATAACCACTTGAAGCTATAATTGTAGCACCCAATTATAAAATCAACAAACTGATCGTTCTACGATATACTCTAGGACTTACTTTTTAAAGAAGACTAAAGCAAAAGAGAGATTGAAGGATGTGTGAGGGAGATGTGAGAAAGGGATGAGAGAAATGAGTGTGGAGATGCTCATATATATAGCCTGTGAGAGGAGTGTAAAAGGGATGTAAAATGGTTCAAGTACCATTGTAAAATCGACGAATTAGCAACGGTTTCCAAAACGTCGTAAATACATCATCGTATAAGGCAAATCGTCGTAAAACCATTATATAATTTAGGATGTGGTGTAAGACTCGGAGGAGAGTCTCACAAGTTGATGGAGATCTAACAAGCTGGCCTTCGCTCTCTTTTGTTGGATCGGTTCAGGGGAAGTGAGGGTGGATAGATGGCACCACAGAGAGGATAGAAGACTCTCTGATACAGAAAACACTAACCTTTGAGTGGAATCACACACACACAAAGGCAAGCAACTCTCTCAAGCAAAAGCTTCAAAGAAAACGTCGTTATTTTATTGATGAGCAAAAGGTATCGAACTACAAAGCTGCAAGGGGACTTTATAAACAGTCCATCAGCTTGAACCTTCTAGGGTTCGGCTCAAATGAAAAGAAAAGACTCAAAAACCACAGGACTTACAAAAGAAACAAAAGAAATCAGAAAAGAAATAAAGCAAACAGTGAGTTGTCTCATTTGGACAGAAATAAGGAAAGTTCTACTTAAACGAAAATAAAAAGAAATAACTACTAAGCCTTGGCCGAGACTTGAACTCTGGTGTCTCTGGCTTCCCTTAGCTTAATCTCCACTGAGCTGATCCCCTGTTCCTGCACAAAACTCATAAGTAAAACTTACTTGGTTTACACGCAAGAGTAGCCATGAGAGAAGTGAGCTGTTCTTAACGTTTGTTGAGGCGATCTTCAAGTGGTCTTCTGCGGTCTTGGTAGTGTTGATGATGCTTGTTTCAAAGGCGTGAATCCCTCCCTTGGCAGCCTCCTCAGCTAGTATCTCTTGTGAAAACTCAGGTTGATTGCTAACGACTAAGTGTTTTGTGTTGCTTGTCTTCGACTCTTGAGTGATGATCTCCTCGGGTTCTTTGTTGGTCTCAACTCCTTGTCCTGTCAAGAGAGATTTCATACTTGTTTCCTTGCTGGACCGGGGCGGGTTCGGTTGAGTTTGAGCCGTGTCCTCTGCTTGTTCCTCCTCGGGTGCTTGTATGAACTTAGATACGGCTAAGTTGATCTTTTCACGCAGGTTCCTGGTTCTGGATCGAGTCATGGGACCTGTTTGAAGTGTTGGGATGTTGGGATCCTCCTTAGGGTGCTCGATGACCTCATCAGGATGCTTACAAACCATCGTAAAATCTTCATAATCGAATCATCGTATATTCGTTGTAAGATCCACTACATTTTTATGGCGATCATGATGGTCGTATGTTTACGTCAAATTTAAATTGACTTACATCAACAAATTTAGTATCCTAGTCGTCGTATAATCATCGTAAACTTATCGACGTATGTACATCGTATATATATATATATATCATCGTGAAATCGTCTTACAAATATTTAAATATCGGATGTAAAATTATCATAATTGGACGACGAATTTACGATGAATTATTAAATTAATTTTTTTTTTTTAAAATGATAATTTTAAAGTTCAAAAAAAAATTAATTTAAAAAAAATAAAACTAAAATTAAAAAAAAATTACAGTTTTTTACCAAAAACAACCTAATTCTACTCGTCTAATCTAATCTCGTTGAGCCTCGTATTCTGCTCCTCGTCGTGGCTCTCATTGTACAAAATCATAACGAAAATGTTAATAAGAAAAATTATATAAGTTAAAATTTTTTTATGAAAACCTACCATCATAAGGCGTCTGTGAGCAAAAGAAACTTGACTGGAAGTGTAAATGAACTTCTTCGGCTGCCCCTGCTCATCTACAGTGTTCCTGAAATAGGAAAAAAATGGTTATTTATATATATAGGTAAAACTATTAGAACTTCAATTCACTATCTATTAAAAAAAAAACACAAACCTGGAACCCCAACATTTAAAAGCAATGGTCTAAGCATGCGGATCCAACCAATGCCGCACTAGTCCCTCCCACACTGCGTCAGCCATTGGCCCCGGTTTTGCCCTGTTCTCCTCAACCTCCCATTTATGCTTCCAGTCGGAAATGGTGTTATTGAGGCGGAGCTTGACGCTCTCCAAGAACTTTGTCTTCATCCGCTCGTGTGCGAAAAGTTCCCAGTACCATTTTTGCTATAAAAATCATTAGAAATAAATAAAAATATAAATAATTAATTTTAAAATAAATAAATTAATACTAAAACTTACCGTGAAACACTTGAACCAAGTGTCAATGGTAGACTGATTCAGCTTTTAAAGCTGACATGGGGTTGTACGAAGAACCCCTTGATGGTATCTGAGACGTTCCAACCAACGTTGTTGTCATGCCAAACCTACATCAAAAAATTATATGTTAAATATATATATTAATATATATATATTAATTACAATATATTAATATATATATATATATATATTGTAATTAAGATTTAAAAAAAAACTTACCAAAACGTCCCAGAAGATCGGTCCGGATCTAATTTCTTCAAGCTGCCACGGCCCGGCTGCGCTCACTACAGGAAATACGAGTTTTAATAGCACACGAGTAGCGTTTATTTGAATTGTGCTATCATTTTGTATTCCTTTTTTTTTGTAATAGCGGTAAACATGCGTGACCGCTATAATATGTGTGATACTGAAATTCGCGGAGTAGTTTTTTTGTAAAATAATTTGTTTTCATAGCAGACTTGTACTTTAAACGCTGTAATATCTTATGGCGGAAAATTTTTTTTCGATTCCCTCCATACTTAGAAATTTTTTAGTGAGGAAATACTGATTTTTCCCCCTTTTCGATTTCCCCATCCACTTTGACTCTTTCTATCAAATAGCTTTTCGATCTGCTAGAAACCCAGAATCGTTAACAATCAACGATTTGAAACCCATTGATTCTCCGATTTCAAACTCAGAAACTCTTAATCTCTTAATATCCTGCCAATTTCATTATCTGTTCTTATACTTTGCTTCATCACTCGAGACCCAGAAACCTTCTCCAATTATTAAAATCTCCGAGTTTGAAATCTGTAAACCTTCTCCGATTC